CTTTTATTTTATTTTCTTTTATTTTATATTTTTGCTGGCCTGCTTGTGTCTGTCTGTTAGCAAAATATCTCATGTATCCCTGGATGGATTTCAATGCAACACTCAGAAAATAACCCCTGAATGTTTACCAACAACTGATTACCTGTTGAAGCCAACCCAACTCAAGAGGCTGCCACAGCTAATCCAACTCGTCAAACACAACGACTGCTGTAACTCAGTCAGTTTAATAGATTTTGTGCTTACATTTGGAGTGGTTGTAGCTGAGAGTCATCCCCAACATATAGTCAGAGCACTGCATGTTGTGCAAACTTTTCCATTCAAATGTTAGCATTGACATTTGGAGCAAACCCGGTTTGTCTGTTAGCAAAATATTTAATGAAGTGCARGATGGATTTTAATGAAACTTGTAGAAAATAATCGTTGGATACCCTTCTGGGCCTGATTAATGTTTGGAGTTGATCCAGTTTAAAATAGCCACCACAGCTAACCCAACTTAGCTAACACAAAAATAGCTAAACCTCAGTCAGTTTTACGTATAATGAGATCAAATTTGACATGGTGGTAGCTGAGAGTCATCACTAATATATACTCCGAGCACAATCTGCTGCGACATTGTTTGATATAATTTAAAATGTTATATTTTGGAAGGTTTGACCAAAATGAGTGGAACTCAGGTCTCAGTTTAAAATTCTGGCAYTGCAACAGTTCTACCTGCTTGTTTCTATGATATTTAAAAAAATAAAGACTTAAAACTTCGAGGCACGTCATGCTTTCAGCATTAACAACTTTGTTTGACCTCAGAGCACGCCGAGTTACTCAAGTTGCAAACAGTCCAGTTTTAGCATTTTAATGTTCTATTTTAGTTCAGCTTAACCTGAGCYTTCAAGTTTATCTTTAGATGTGTGACATCATGGTTCAGTTTAAAATCTGTAATTTTACCTGACTTTTATAGCTGCACGGGTATTTTTTGTGGCTCTGACACTAAACTCATAAGTTCAAACCTTTTGAAGTTTGAACAATAACTATCTTACCTGTTGTAGATAGCATCAACCTGACAGATTTAATGTCCACCACAGAAAGGAGATGTTAACTTTKATCCATTATGTCAGTGTTTTTATTGTGCACTGCCAAATTGAGTTTTCTGTATCAGTTTGTCTTTTAGCAAAATATCTCACAAAGTAAGAGATAGTTTAACGAAACGTTCATGAATGAAACATATAATACACGTCTATAAGTWATTAACTTTAAGCATCAATCCAGTTCAAGATGGCTGCCAGAGATGATCAAGATGACCAAACACAAAAACAGCTAAAACTTTGTCAGTTTTGCAGATGTTGAGCTAGAATTTGTTGTGGCAGTATCTGAGACTTATACTTCAAGCACTACTTGTGCAYAATATTTACTGTCAATTTTATTAATGTCCTGGTAAAACTGTTTGTCTGTTAGCAAAATATCTCATGAACCACTGGAGGGGTTTTTCTGAAACTCTTGGAAAAGAATCACTGTTTATGCATCTGCAGCTCGTTCACTTTTGGAGTCAATCCAATTCAAGACGGTTGTCACARCTAATCAAGAGTACCAGACACTAAAATGACTAAAAATCAATCAAATGACCAGATATTGAGTTAGAATTTCATGCAGTGGTAGCAGAAGTCTTGCTTCCATAGGGGCAACATGACCCTGATATCCCTCCGCGCAGCACTAATACGCATGGGGATTCCAAAACTTCCCTTTGGATGAAACCCGCACCTCACACAAACACATCCTGCACTCCGTGCAACGCGCCACATTTGCGATTTGTTTATTTATTTAAAATCAATCCGTGTTTCTGCTCCAGATCGTAGCGACAGAGAGCAGTGCGCAGGAGTGGGC